AGAATTTGGAAGGAAGCTTTCGTCTACCTATCACGTATCAGACCTGGAGTCCATAACCTTAGAAGGCAGTACTACCGGCTGAGAATGTAGAAGGATCAAGAAGGCTTTGGTTAAATTCTTGACATTCAACATGACAGGTGCATGTTGATGCCCTATAGAAGATATCCTTGTGCTTGAAGAAGAGGTCACTGATGGAGGAAGATCTTCTACCTGTTCTTGGCCCCACCACCAGAACAGTCTTGGGCTGGGTGGGTTATAGAGCTGAGCCGCTGTCACGGTTCTGTTCTTATATTAGCAAAAACAATTAAATAAAAGCAACTTTGGATTTCTTTAGCTTGTTTTAAATTGACTTTTCCTGTTTATTCTGATAACCACTCAGTGAAAATAGCACAGAAAATAAAAGCTCAGATACTGTGGTAATGCTGGTGATTATCTCACTGATGCCCGGTGCCACGAGGTGGGTACTGTAAATTCCGTCTTTACAGGTGAGGAAACAGAGGCACCGAGAAGTCAAACAGCAGGAAGTGGTAGAAGTAGGACTAGAACCAGGCAGTCTGCTGCCACTGTTCTCTGGACTGTGCTGGGGTTCTGAGATGGGACACGGGAGTGGACATTAGCTTAGGAGGTGAGATGATGGCTTTTCCTTCGTGTGATCTTATTCTGTTCACTTCCCAACAAGCCTGAAGTGATCACTGCAGCTCCGGTGGGGCTCTTGACTAGGCCTGAGTCAGTAGGTGGGGTTTCGTGCCCTTGGTCCTGAGAGGTTGAAATTCCTTGCACATCCTGTACCTCTATCTGCTCTGATAAATAAAGACTTAGAGGTGAATGAATTCCAACATCCAGATTATTTGTGAACTTGTATCCATGAGGACCTTCCTTCCTGTCCTTGAATTCCAGGTCCCTCCATTTAGCACTGGGACCCTCTATAGGTGGAAGCCGTAGTTCTGGTAGACTACTTGGAGTATCCTAGTACACGTGAGCTTATCATGCTACCAACCTTTGTAGAGACCAGGTGCGTTCTTCCCCTTCCAACTCTGGTTTCACTGACTTGGGGGAGTCGGAGGAAGTAAGAGACAAAGAGATTGTTCAAATGATAACTGTCTTAAATTTCAGGAGTATAGGAACAGGGTCATAGCAAAATATACTGCAGAAGTATTTTCATTACGTTTTTATCTCCCTAAAGCATATGTTTTTGTCAGGATCAATGGATGCAAGAAGCAGAAACCATTCACCACCCTTAGTTCTAAAGACCTCATATTATTTTCTTCTTGGTTTGAGAGAGCGAGAATGAGCAGAGGGGAAGGGCAGAGGGAAAAGGAGAAGCAGACTCCCCCCTGAGCAGGGAGCCTGATGTGGGACTCAGTCCCAGGACCCTGAGATCATGACCTGAGCCAAAGGCAGATGCTTAACAACTGAGCCACCCAGATGTTCAGCATCATACTCTTTCCAATAGGCATTCTTACAGGGAGCCTGACAGATCCTGCTACTTGCCTTGTGACGTCAACTGCTGTGCACCTGCCAGGGGCTGGTTTTGATCCTGCCACCACAGGACTTTGCAGCTGTGGAGCCCTCTATGGATGGCCAGTCCCTATCTTTTGGGTCACATTCTGAATGTGGTGAGCCTAGTTGGCTCACCCTGCCTTCCCGCCTGTCCCTAACTCTGTGACTAGGCCACCTCTGCTCACCTGAGTGACCTTATCCTTCCCTCCATGGCAGCTCTTCTCACAGTGCTGTGCCCTGTGCCAGAAATGCCGTTCCCTTTCCTACTTTTCTCATCTTCCAGGCTTGAGCTTACATGCATCACTTCGCTGACACCAGGCAGTTAGCTTTTCTGTGCCCCCAGCCCTGCACTACTACTTCCCAAACCTTGAATTATACTGGCTTGGGTTGCATTTGGTCCACTTGTAGATCAAGCCTATCCCAGACTTGGCCTGGAGGTCAGAGCCCGATCATCCGCCTGTGTAGCTTAGTGTGTGGCCCCCAATGGGAGCCCAGTAAATGCTGGATGATGAGTGGCTATGGCCTGTCAGCCCAGCCGTTTCTGCTCTCCCCCAGCACAGAAGTCCGCAGAGTGAAGTCATGGATCCCATCTGCTGTCTCTCGGGGTATTAGGAGAAAGAAGACAAAGCTCTGCTCCAGATTCACACTAAATAGTGTAACTCACCCAAGGGACCAAAATGCTGTTTGGAACCCAAATGTAGGAAACAGTGTCTTTACTCAGCCCACCTCCAGCCTACCATATATTGCCATGGGTGCCGCCCCTATATTGCCATGGGTGCCGCCCCGCTACCCTCCTGGGGGTAGGGGGACAGTTCAACCAGTTTGCCTTCCTCTCCTCCCCCTGCATCCCTTTTCATTCCTTCTCCCCCTCCTTCACCATGTAAATAACTACCTTACTCAGCACTCTGGCATCTTCATTGTTTCCATCTACAACCCCTGGAGTTGGGTGAGAGCCTAATCACTGTTCCTATTTCACAGATGAAGAACTAAGAACCAAGGTTAGGACCAGGGAGGCCTTCCATGCAGGGAGAATGTGGAGGCAGCATAAGTCCCTGCTCCTCTCCCCTGAGGGACATCCAGACTCCCTGTAGAGAGGGCTTTGTGAAGAGTGGGTGGCCCAGCTTGTTGGGGAGGGGGCAGTCCTCAACATCAAGACGAGGGGCAAAGAGGATCCTGGGCAGGATAGGAGTGGGCCCAAACTGTGGCTAGTCTCTAGGACTCCTCAAGGGGAGGGGCAGCACTGCACAGAAGCCGTGGGAACCATTTGGGGAAATGGGGGCAAGGTAAGTGAGCCCAGTTGCTGAGAGAGTGGGTGGACATGATGGTGTGGTAGATGAGAAGGGGCCAGTGTAGAGAAGATGGAGGAAATGGTATATGGAACCCCATTTGCCCACAGAGCCACCCTGAGCCCACAAACATGGGAAGAGATGGTACCAGATGGAAGGTGCCTGGCGTTTGGCCCACAGTGCATGGTAGAGCCCTGCATGGTAGAGACTGAGAAAGTGCTCAGTCCCCAGCCTCCAGTCTTACTTGGCATTACAGATCTCAGGCTGAGGGTGGGCTGGCCCAGACTTGGCCCACTCCTCCTCATGGCAGAGGGTGGAGAAGTGGGGAGTCCCTAGGAATGGCTCTACCAGGGTCAAAGAGTTAGCAACAAGAAGGGAGGCATGGAGCAGGGGCCCATGGAGGGCAGAGGCATGAGGAAGCTCCTTGCAGGGGCCCAGGCAGCACACCCTTGCTTTGAGAGCAGCTGGGGAGTTTTCAGAAAAGGAAAGCAGGCTGGAGACACACCAGGGAGATGGTTTCCAGTATCTGTTCAACCTATTGTCTCCCAGGCCACCTCCCTCCACCTGATGTGTTTTCCATCTCCCACCCCAACATCTGCACAGCTTCTGAGTGCTTTCCTCCTGGGGCACTGGTGATTCCTAGGCCTTGGCCTCCATTCCTAAGAATTTTTAACAGACGGGGGGGCGCCTGGGTGGCTCAGTGGGTTAAGCCTCTGCCTTCGGCTCAGGTCATGATCTCAGGGTCCTGGGATCGAGCCCCGCGTCGGGCTCCCTGCTCAGCAGGGAGCCTGCTTCCCTTCCTCTCTCTCTCTGCCTGCCTCTCTGCCTACTTGTGATCTCTGTCTGTCAAATAAATAAATAAAATCTTTAAAAAAAAATTTTTTTTAACAGAGGGAGAGTGTCCCTGTCTATGATATAAGAGGATTGGACTTGGATTCAAACTCTGAAGGGAATTGGGGAAAGGGAATTTGGTCCTCTCATCAGACCCTGTACCTGAGGTCTAGAGGCCTGTGGCTGAGAGGATGAGTGGAGAACTAGTTCCAGCCTCTTCTGTCCTGCCAGTGTGGAAGGTATGTGTGTTCATTCTCCCGAGTTGGCACATGGGGTTCAAGTGGTGCTTATACAGGGCCTTACTGACCTCTTAGTAGCCCTTTGAAAAGCCTTGAAGGCTATGCCTCACCCTCTCCCAACCCAGATTAGAAAACTTCTTGTTTTCCCAGGATACAGTTAGGAGATTGGAGTAGAAAATACAGATTAGGTCTGCACAAATATTAAAAAAATCTGTCCTAAAAGCAGTTACCAGTCAGTGACTTCCCCCGTGGACAGAAGGGCTAACCACTACCCCTTTGCCCCCAGCACCCCCCAACAAAAAAAAACCCAAATTCATGTCAAGTATACACCTTGTGCCTGGGGGACCCAAGCCAACAGATGGGTTAACCTAGATGGTTGGACACTGACCACAGGCATACCGAGCAGAACAAAGGAATAGAGGTGGGCAAGATGGCTTTGGTCCTGGGAGAGGAGAGGGCTATGAGCCAGCCCTGTGACTCTGAGGCTCCTGTCCTTAGCTGGGGTCCTGTCCTGGTTAGGTTAACAGTCACCACAGGTTCCAAAGCCAGGGAAGGGTACTTGGGGCTGAGGAAAGCCGTGGGTAGGAGCCCGAGCTGAGCCAGGAGCCTGAGCTGGATGGAGCAGTTAACTTCCAAGGTGCAAGATCTCATTATCCCAGGGGAGGGTGGGCCTGAGCCCTTGATGCGCTGGGCAAGACCTCAAGGACTGCAGAAGGGGAGCTAAAGACCAGAAAGGAGCCAGGGTCACCCAGGGATCCAGATGAGCTGCCCTCCTATGACCCGGAGAAGCATTCTTTCTGCCTAGAAGGATACTGCAGGGCTCCAGGAGCAATGTGGAAGGATGGTGTCCTGGGAGGCTTCCTCGCTCTGTCCTCAGAGTCTCCCTTCATCTTGGGGGCACTCACTTGGAACCCTATTGACCCCAGGGCCAGATGAGCCAAAAGACATTTGTTTAGTTTTCCTTAGAACAGCTGAGGCAAACTTGCATTTTCAAAAGGCAGTTTATTAGCATTGAAAGGGACAAGCTGGAGATGATGAAAATGTGCGCTGTCCAACCTCCAAAGCAAGACTTGTGCTCTCCCCCTGGACTGGGCAGCCGTGTGGCCCTTTGTCTGGAGGGGAGCTGCTACAGCCCCTGTCTTGTCTCCACCTGCCGTCGGGCTCTTTCCTGCACTCTGTGGATGTCATCTGGGACACACTGCTTTGGAAGGTCGAGACCCTTTCCTTCCCCTGCCACCCACCTGGCTCCTGCCGACATCCAGTTGGTCGAGGCGCCCTATGCTGGCAACCTTCTCCCTCCAGGTCAGAGCCCAGCCGTCCTTCCTCTTGCGGCCCTGCGAACCCCTAGTCCCGAGAGGGACCTTCTTACTCGAGCGGGCCCTCCAGCGAGACCTCCATCTGCAGTTTCTCCACAGCTTGCACCTTCCGAGTGCCCTCCCGGCGCCGGGCAGATGGCTGGTAGGAGCTCTCGTCACTGGCTGAGCCCTGCCAGCCCTCGGTGAGGCCCAGCAGGGCCCGGACCTGGCGGAGGAAGCTAGGGCTGGAGAAGCAGTAGAGCACAGGGTCTAGGACACTGTTGAGGTAGGTGAAGGCCAGGGAGCCATGAAAGAGCTGCGTGCAGAGGTCAAGGGCGGGGCAGGCACCCAGGCGGAAGGCCACTATGGAAGCCACGCCGAAGACAATACTGGGTAAGAAGCAGACCGTGTAGACAGCCACCACCACAGCCAGCACGCGCACAGCTCTCCGCGGGCCCGCCTGCCCCCCAAGGCCACGACGTTGGATCTTGAGCCTGATGCTCACGATGGCAAATGCGATGAGTGCCAGAGGCAGGAAGAACTCCAGCACAAACAGGGCCTGGTGCCAGTGGAGCAAAGCCAAGGGCTTGACGCCCAGCCGGTAGCTGAGGCAGGAGCCGTCGGGATAGGCAGCCAGGAGCAGGTGTCCGTTGAGGAGCAGGATGCTGGCCCAGAGCCCCCCGGCCACCCAGGTGACCGCCCTCACGGAGGCCCGGCTCAGCGCGTGGTGGGGCCACACCACCTTCAGGTAGCGGTGGAGGGCGATGGCCGTGAGGAAGACCACGCTGGCTGAGCGGTTGGTGGACAGCATGAAGAGGTTGAGCTTGCAGATGGTGGCCCCGAAACGCCAGCGCTCATGCAGGAAGTAGTAATCCACACGAAGGGGCAGGTTGACGATCAGGAGAAAGTCGGCCACCACCAGGCTGACCAGGAACACCGTGTTCGACATCCAGGGCCGCGTGTGGAAGCAGAAGATGAAGAGCGCCAAGCTGTTCCCCGCCAGCCCCAGGACAAACTCCATACCCAGGATTGGTGCCAGGAAGGCGGACACGGTGGGCGAGGAGGCTGGGAAGCAGGAACCCGAGGCCTCTCCTGCAGTGCCTGAATCTGTGGTGAAGGCCCAAGGAGAGGAGGAGAGGGTGGGAGGGAGGGAGGTGGGGAGGGAGCCAGGGAGAGCGGAGGGAGGGAGAGAAAGGAGGGGAGAGGAAGAGCTCAGGTTACGAGATTCCATGGGCTGCTTGGGCCATGGACCTGAGAGAAGTTTCTGGGCTTTCTACCCCTGAGAGAGTGTTTGGGGCAGGAAGAATGATGTTCACTGCCCGCTGGCCACCACGATGACTCAATATCCTGGTATTCTCATCAACATCCTTGTGGCCACTGAGAGACACCCAGTCAAAGGGGAACCCTGTAGCCTTCCCTCCTCTCCCCCTCCCCCCACACCAAGTGACCTGGCTGCAAGGTCTCTGAAGAAGGGTGTGGGAGTCTGGGCCAACCCTGAGAAGGGGAAGCGAGCAGGGCTCAGTAAGGGTGAGACAGAGGCCCAGGGAGACCCTGAGGTGAGAGGAAGGCCCAGCTGGGGTGAGGAGGAGAAGAGTGTCTGCAGCTTTGAGGGCTCAGATGTTTGCTTGCCTGAAGGCTAGAGCTGGTCCTGGCAACCCACGGCTCTCAGATTCACGCAGGCCCCCCTGCACCCCGCCCCATTATCTGTACAGACTGGGTAGCTGCCTCCCTGTCCCCATCAGCTCCAGCAGCAGGGATTGTGGTACCAACAGGATGTTGTTCCTGGAGAGGGAGGTGGGGAGTCTGGCCCATACCTTGACCACGTGCTCATGGCCTTGTGGAATAAGCCTGTTTGTACCCCACGATCCCTGATTCCAGAGTGTCCAAAGTCCTTGAACCCTATGAACTATCTCCCACACGCAGAGGGCTCCCCTGCCAGTTTCTCCTACCCTGGGACCTGGGGCTCCGCCCCCAGACAGAACAATACAGTAAGCCTTCAAGATGCCCTGTCCACTGTGCGCCCCACGCCATCCTGACTCTGCATTCACCACAGACGGGGCAGTAGAGGCCAGGGCTGTCCTCAGGCAAGGTGCAAGTCCTGTTCCACCTCTGCATGGTGTTCTCAGGGGTGCCTGGGGCCTCAGGCTCCTCATGACCTGGGACAGGGCCGAGGGAGCCTGCGGTTCCAGATGCCTGCCCTGGCCGTCTGGCTGCGGTCAGCAGTGGGCCAGGAATGCCCACTCGGCCAAGGCCTCGGGGCTTCAGACACAGTGGCTGTTGGCCTCTCTTTCTCAGAGCCTCCAGGTCCCTCTCTCCTCTGTCCCAGGCTCCCATCTGGCCAAGGCTGAGGTAGACGGGCTCAAACAGGCTGTGACCATGGGGTGCTAGGTGGTGAGACCACCAGCCTGAGCCTTGAATGCAGACAGGCCTCGTTTAGAACCAGAGCTGCTTGTTTGCTAAACCTCTTAGGGAGTTCCCTAGCACGGAGCCAATGTTCAGAAAAACAGATCTAATTTGCATTATTTTCTCAGAGTAGGTTTGCCCTGGGCACTAGGGAAAAGCTTGTCTTTTCCTAGCCACCTGGCTCTGTGCAGGGGACATCCTTGGGACATTCCCCATGTCCTCTCCTCAGTTCCTGCAGAGTGCAAGGCCGTGCTGTAGCCCATGTTCACGCCAGCCTCTGCCTTCACCTCTTGGACTCTGTGAGTTTGTAGGGGGAGGCAGCAGTGTTTCTTCTTGGCCTGTGGGAGAGGAAAGCCTTAGGGGTAGAGAGATGGGCACAGTCTCTGACATTCCTCGGGGGTGGAAACCCTTTTCAGCAAAGCCAGGTTCCCATCTGCCTGCAGCATAGCGAATCCAAACAGTGGGCTGCCCGGCCGCAGTGGGGGGAGGCAGGGTTGAGACCCCATGTTTTCCAGAGGAAGCTCTGACTCTCCCACCAGGGACCTGTTCCATCCAGATCCCACTTCACTTACCCCACCTGCAACCCTTTCTGGATTTCTCGCTGAAGTCCCAGGAAACTAAGCTCTGGTCTCTGCTGTAGGTTCTGGGTTTTGTCTCTACCCACAGCTGCTTCTAGGGTTCTCAGCACTCCAGAACCCTGCAGAGCACCCAGGAGCCTTCTGGGTCTTTGGACATGGTGCCTGTACATAGCCGGGGAGCAGACACCGGCCCACTGCCAAGTTCCTGATACCACTTTGGTTACCATGACCTTCATGTGTTAACTGTGGTCTACTCCAGGTGGTGGATCCTGTGTTTTTAAGTATTTTTGCTTTCTACAATTAGTATACATCACTTGTTACTAGGGAGGAAAAAACCCAACAGATGCTATTTTTAAAAGTCATCTGAAAAGAATAAGTGGGAAAGACCAAGAGGCAGAGGGACAATAAGAGCTATGTCCCCGGGACGAGCACCAGAGCTGAATGGATGGGCCACACACACAGTGAAGGGAGCCCCTTCACAAGTAAGGACACACACTAACAGACCGTCCATACACCTACTTCACCTGGTGCCCCCCACACATCAGACAGACACACACAGTCTCAGGAGCACAGGGGGCGGCCATCAGTGACAGCCCGTGTGCATGCAGACATACAGGCACTTGTCCACCAGGAAGCCTTTATTGAGGGCCCTCTGGGTGGCAGGCAAGTGCTGTCCTGAGCCTGGGAGGACAGAGGGATGGAGAGGCAGCCCGGCCTCAATCATGGAGCAGACTATGTAAGGCAGTGGGCAGAGGAATGATAGAAGAGAAGGGGCATGACTGTCCCCCCAAGAGCCTGGCTGAGAGGAGGAGGAGGCTGGATGGCGATGTCCAGGGCCCTGCTCCAGGGACACGCAGTACATTGGCAGCAGCACGCGCAGAAGCAGAGAGGGGAACTGGGTGGGGGAGGGAGGCACTGTGGCTCCTTGGGGGGCAGCACCCAGAGTATCAGCCCAGGGGTTTCTTGCGGGCGGGGTCCTGGGTCACAGCCAGGGCCACAGAGTCCCGTCCTCGGTCCCAGGTGTACCTGCGGAGACACAGGTGGTCGGGAGTCAGACAGGTGGGTCCTGAGCATCCCAGGGGAAGGAGGATGGTCCCGCAGCTTGAGGGGAAAGTCCTCCCATGTACTCACGCATTCCCAGCTGGCACCAGAAGGCTGTCATCTGGGGCCAGGCTCAGGTGCTGGTCCCCCATTGTCACCACAGAGGAACCTTCCTGGGAACGAGGAGCAGGAGAACGGGAATGGAGGCCGTTGGGCCTCAACACCTATCTAGGTGTCCCTGAGTCTGCCTTGGCAGGGAGGCCCTGGGAGCCATTTCAGGTTCTGGGCATCCAAGACCCAGCAGCAGCCTGGTCCCCAGGGGTGAGAGGATGTCATTCCCCCCCCCCACCCCACCGTCAGGGGCCCCACTTGCCAAGTGCCACAGCCACACATCCACGTCCTGTCTCAGGCCCTTGCTGCTGCCTTGTCCATGGACAATCACCTGACAGGAAGCAACACACATCTTTCTGGTGCTTCTGCAGGAGATGGCCTTGAACCTGCCCCCCAGACACTGGGCCCGCAGCACCAGGCACAGCCTTATCTTCATGTGTAGAGTCTAGACCAGGACTTGGAGAGGAAGGCTGCCAGGCCGAGGGCCTCCCCACTGCCTCCACAAGGAGAAGTGCTGCCTACCTGCTGTCCAGGACCACACCAGCTTGCCCTTCACACACACACGTGCACATCGGATTCCTCAGCTGCCCATCCCCACAACTGCTGACCCATATGAAGGCCTGACTGCCAGGGCACATTCGGGACCCAGGCACTCATGCGCACACGGCTTAATGTGGACTCACATATCACACACATAGTTCCACAAAGAGGGCCCACCTGCCTTCTTCCATGAGATTCTGTCCTGAGGAGGAGGAGATGGGAGGGGACTAGCCTCTTCGACCTGCATCAGCCTGGCGGCTACTGGGCAGGCCTTGCTCCTGCTGGCCCAGAGTAAGACTCAGTAGATATTCTTTTGGCATAAACTGAAGCAGGGGGGAAGCAGGCGTGTACATGAGGCAGAAGGCAGGACCGCGAGGCCAGCTTGGTACCAAATGCCTTTGCCGTGATGGGCTGGGAGGTATGCGCCTGCTTTCAGAGCCCGGTCTAAGCTCAGGTGTCTGCAGGCCAGAACTTTCGGGGCAGGTGTGCACCCAGGGAGCTTCCCTCCACGAGGGTGTCTGATTCAAACTTCAAGGGATGTGCCAGGGGCAAATTATAAAGCCCAAGCAAGCCCAAGCATGGCACCTTGTCCAGCCCAGGATATCTGATAGGACCTGGGCACTGCCTGCTACTCCTGGCATCCAGTCCTGGTGCCTGCAGCCCTCATTCCCCTAGCAGTGCCAGGCTATTTCAAGCTTCCACACCTTTACCTATGCTTCTCCCTTACTGGGAATGCTCTCTCAGCCTCCCTTTCTTCCTTTGACAAGCTCCTATATTTGCTTTAAAAAAAATGTAGCTTACACATCACCTCCTCCAGGAAGTCTTTCCTGACTTCCCTCCAGCCTGGGCTTGTCCTTCATTGTCCTATGGCTTCCTGAAGCTTCTCTACCAAATAACATACCACCTGATTGTGGTAATTGTTGATTAACTTGTCTATTTATCAGACCATACACTCTTTGAGGCAGTGACTCTTATCTTTTTTTCTACCAAAGCCTGAAACATAATAGCCATTCAATAAATGTTGAATGAAAGAAAGGCAGCTTTATTTGGGTGGGTCTGTCTCTGTGCTCCTCTCCATCCCCAGGCACCACTCTTCCATCTCACCCCCCAGGTTGAGACTGTCCAAAAGTTCAGGAATTCCTAGTAGAAGGATAACACTAGGCCCCCAGGAATCAGTCAGTGGATAGGGCAACCTCCTACTCTGAAGGCAAAGAAAGACTGCTTGAGACCATGTAGCCTCCACTCCTCGAAAAGCCGTCACTCTCTGAGTCAGGGAGGAAACAGGAAGGCCTTTGTTTATGTCACAACCTCTGAAACTCTGTGTGTATGTGTGTGCATGTTGGGTGATTAGTTCCCATTTCCCAGGGCTGCTGGGTAGATGCCCTGGGTGGCCCAGGGCCTCATTACCTGTGTCTCATAGGAGTCCCCAAACAGGCTGAGGGATGTGCCTCCCTGCAGCTGCCTGCGGTGCCCATCCAGCCAGGCCTCCAGGGACATGGGCTCCATGACAGATCGCGTGCTCAGGAGGAATGGTGGTTTCTGGCACAGCTGGTCTGCACCCACAGCAGAGTTATGTCAGTGGTCTCCGGCCCGGCCCGCCCAGAACCCCAGCAGCCCAGGGGTCTCAGCTCTGAATCACCAGAATGGGCTCTGGATCCAGCTTGAGGACCAAGCAGCCACATGGGGGAC